GGATCAACTCTGTCATTACTCATTTTCTAATCCACCAAACAGCTGATATGTATTAATATAAATAGATACATATTTACATGGAGGTTTCCCATGAGATCATTTTTTTTTTTTTTTTTGCACGACAAGTGTAAGTTTTAAAACACATTTGTACAGTACCATCTTATTATGTAATCTTCTGACCAAAACAAGCATAAAATCAAAAGCCATTTAGGTAACTCTTGACACCTATCTCTATAAGGCATTATAAATATATGTATAATGCGTTATAATCATGTTATAGCACTGTATAACTATAGTTATTAACACTCATAAATGATGATAATGCTTTATAGCAATAATCATAACACATTATAAAGCATTTTATCATGACTTACAAGGTCAGGTATTATAATGTGTTATAACTGTTAACAACTCACTGACAATTCTCACATAGATAATGCATTATACTTATGATGTGTTATAATTTGCTTATAAACTTGTATAACTATCATTATAAACACTCAATTATCATAAGGCTGTATAACAATAAGCATAACACATTATAACACCTGACCTTGTAAGTCATGATAAAATGCTTTATAATGTGTTATAATTGTTGCTATAAAGCATTATGATCATTTATGAGTATTTATAACTACAGTTATACAGTGCTATAACGTGATTATAAACTATATACATATTTTTCTAATGGGTTATAGGGATAGGCGTCAAGTAAAGTGTTACCAAAATTTCTGTCGTCTTCTTTCAAGTCTTCTTCAGTTAAGTTGGCTGATCCTGAAACAGTGAAGACCCACCTGTCTCCCAGCAGGGAGTCCCCTCCACTGACAGATGTGTTTATCATGCCATACTGTGTGTTGCCAGGTATTTTCCTCCTGTCTGTAACTTTCCCTTTCCACCACTGCCTAATCAGCTTTAATTGACTTTAATTACCATCTAGTAATTAATTTTGTTTTCTACAAATTATTTGTATGAGTGCTCCCAGTGGGTGGCCTGTTCATCTCGTTAGGGCCAATTAGCTGCAATTAACAAACACTAATGACATGCTTTTTTCATTCCAAAACAAACAGAGAGCACCCCGCCAGATTCCAGCACTGCACAGAGACCTCTGGTGTGTTGGAGAGGTGCAGGGGGATGGCTCTGCAGGCTAAAAGGCTCCTAATCAGCACCTCTTATAGAGAAACCCAGAAACCCAGAAGGAGACACTTATCCACACAGCTTACACTTCCTCTGGTCCTGCCCTCTTGTCTTTCATTGTCAACCACTGTTACATTCATGCAAATGAGTTCAGGATTAAGGAAGAGAAAAAATGTAGGAAAAGTCTTAAGTATTTAATCTCATTATTTCCAGCAAAGGCCAGCTAAGAGAATTACTGATACTGCTGGACATTTTTACAGTTGAATTTCAGTTTAGTATTCTGTGCTCTGTCTCTAATATCTTGTTTTATAACTCTTGCATGCAAACAATTTTCATTCATTAATCAATACCAGAAGTAAATATCTATATTTTTAATGTAATACAATACTTTTGGGGAAAAAAATACTAAATCAAGCCTCCTGAGCCTGCCTGTGTTTTCTGTTTGGTTGAAGATTTTTCTTTTCAGTGAGTATGTAAGACATAAAGAGTCCCTAAATCCTTCTTTTTGAATGTGTAAAAAACAATGTATGGAGGAAAAAAAAGGAATGATACAATTTCACCTATATATATATATTTTTTTTTTACTGTATTTGAGAAATTCTTGATGAAATTTTGACACAAATTCAGACAGTCAGCTCTCGCTCTTAGAGAGAGAGAGAGAAAAAAGGGAAATTACTGTAAAAATTAAACTGACCATAAAATGTCTCTGTCAGAAAACCCCAAATCCATGTTGTCTTTTACTTAATAGAGCTACATAAACTTCTGATTTGTTTGTTCATTTCTCTCTCATAAGCAAGTTGTGTCTTAAAGCTTTAGTGAGGAAGAAGGTTCGTGTCAAATTTGGTGACTTTTGCTGTAAAATTGTACCTTTTCCTGTATGGGGAAAAACATGTTCAATACAAAATGTTAAATAGGCCACATCAGCATTGCATTGTTAGATTTAAGAAATTAATAATCATCCAACCTGGTGGCAGCTTCATATGACAAAATGGATATGAATATTAAATCTAATTGTTGTCTTTGTGTTTCTTAACCAGGTACTTTGTGCTGATATAGACTCAGACTCTCTAACACACATATCACACATTGCAAATCTGTGAAACATTTATCATTATAGTAAATCTTTAGGATAGGGATTTGTAAGTCATTGCATAAATTCTTTCAGCATCTTATCTTGACAAAATCCCACCTCAGCCGATTGCTACTATAGTTGTTACTGTGACCAACTATCACAGTTGTGTGGGTCATAACTTCATTTGCATTGTGCGTGCATTATTTCAACAGAAAACCTTCTTTCTTTTCATGCTTTAATGCTGGTTTATCCATCGGTGCACTGAGGTGCTGTCCATGGTGCTAACCAACCTTAGAGTTTCCACTGTCAAACAAAACTGGTATATCAACAGCGGTACATTACCTGACAAGCATTGTCAAAATCACAAAGGTAATTATGACTTACGTTACAAGTTTGTTGACATTAAAAACATCTGGAAATTTTTATGAACAATGGTAAAATTTCAGTAACACTTCACTTGGCGCCTATAACCCATTATAAATATATGTATAATGTGTTATAACCATGTTATAGCACTGTATAACTATAGTTAAAGACACTTATAAATGATCATCATGCTTTATACTAATAATCATAACACAAAATAAAGCTTTTTTTACCATGACTTACAAGCTCAGGTATTATTATGTGTTATAATTGTTAACAACTCACTGACAATTCCCACATAGCATGATACATAAACTTGTATAACTATCATTATAAACACTCATTAATTATCATAAGGCTTTAGCATAACACATTATAAAGCATTTTACTATGACTTACAAGCTCAGGTATTATAATGTGTTATAACTGTTAACAACAGTTGCATTGCATTATCTATGTGAGTATTGTCAGTGAGTTGTTAACAGTTATTGCACATTAGAATACCTGACCTTGTAAGTCATGATAAAATGCTTTACAATGTCTTGTGATTATTAGTATAAAGCATTATGATCATTTATGAGTGTTTATAACTATAGTAATACAGTGCTATAACGTGATTATAACGCATTATACATACATTTGTAATGCAGTGTTACCAAAATTTCTAAAGAAAAGAAGGATGGAGTAAACTGGTGTAAATCGAGTTAAGCAAAGACTGTTTAATAAAATTATCAAAGAAATTTAAAACTAAGAAAATCGCAATTATTTTTACTTTGTTTTTTTTTTTTAAGTCTGAGCAGTATGTTTTTGAGCCAATTAAAGAACATATCAGTCACACATGTAGAAATATAGGCTATATACACGAACCAGCTGGCATTAAAAGTAAATCCCTGACGTTTTGCTAACTTCGGTTTCTATAGAGCCCAGTCTATAGAGAAAAAAAATCCTGGCTCTTTTTTTTTCTCTGTCTGTAGCTCAGATATCAGAGTCTTGCAGAGGTGGAGCTCGTGTGGGGAACCCCGCTATCTCCCTCCCCAGCGCACCAACACGCTGCGATAACATCTATAGAGACGGCCTATCAGCACACATTATAACCATTAGTGATCCTTGTCCTTTCAGACGAGAGGAGGAATAAAGCTGGAGCACAACAGTTATCTGTGTGTGTGTGTGTGTGTGTGTGTGTGTGTGTGTGTGTGTGTGTGTGTGTGTGTGTGTGTGTGTGTGTGTGTGTGTGTGTGTGTGTGTGTGTGAGAGAGAGAGAGGCTGCTGGTGTTCATCTGTCCTCAGTGCAGACTGCAGGCACAGAGCCGTTCAGCATTTATCATGATCATCACTGCGCACGCAGCCTGATTCTCCCACACAGATTTATTCACATGTGATTTTATCAGCGACCCTCAGCAGGATATCATTCAAAGACATGGCCGAGATATAAACATTAGAGATAGGAGCTGCTTATTTTTAGGCTATCTGTTTACAGTTGTATCTCAGACGAAAACGTTCTACGCTGCATAGGATAACTTTTGCCCCAGTAGCCTACTTTTATTTTTTGGAATAATTCTTGAGTAAAACGTGTTTATTCAAAAGGTTTTTTTCTTCTTCGTTTTCTTTAACCATTTAGGGGTACGTTGAGCCAAAGGTTAAGCTGAACCCCCCTGTTGCTTGGAAATGGTCAAAGAAATTGATCATGTGACCAAATATTTAGGAGATGGGCATCAATTCATGGAGTGTGTGAAGGTTGGAAGCACATGGGTGAAGGGGTTAGACATTTATTTAAAAAGTAAAATGTTTCACTCTTGAAAGTGAATTTAATCTGTCATAAGTTTTATAAGTAGGGATACGGCTCAACTTACCCCGCTCCTATGGTCAACTCACCCCATACACGGGGTAAGTTGACCATAGGAGATCACTTATCACTATATTATCAAGACAGTTATGTTTACACTCATTCTGTTAGTTTGCAGGGATGCACAACATCTTGAAATATATGCAGATACACTAGTTAGAGACAAAACTATGATTGCATTGATTTAGTGATCCGAAATATAAAAAATGGCTCATCTTACCCCACTCTCCCCTATTGCATTGCTGATTTTTATTGAGCTCTTTTCAAGCAGAGAGAAATGAAAAGCTAGGGGTTCGAATGTTGGCTCCTTTCAGCCGTAATTTTCTTGGTTTTAATTTCTGGTCTATGTTCATCATACCATGGATTTTTAGCTATTTTTATTGAACAATATATTTATTTATTTTTAGTCTATATCCAGATTCTCTGTTTTTGATAACCATGGTATTTTATTAAACTTCATGCGTGGTTGAAATGAAGACTTCTCATTGGTTTAACCGGGAGCTGACGTCACGCCCCTCCTGAGAGGCTATAGGCTGAGCCTGAAGAGGTGCGCTCATTATTGCCTTTCTCTCCCACTAAGGGCTCATCACAGACAAAATGGGACACAAATGACAAACTGAGCGCACAGAGAGCGGATCATCGCGATTATTTCATGCTAAAGCCCCTCCGGATACATCGTGCTGAAAAGAGTTGCTGTGAGAGCTCCCTATGAGGGTGGGTGGGCTTTTCGATTTCTCCTTTTAAGAGCACATTTCGGATCATCCTGATGGCCCTGGTGTGATCTTCAGTCTTTAACACTGCTTCAGAAATGCTGTTTGTTCAACACTTCATCTGTCGTTTGGAACTGGTGTGCAGGTGTGGATTGTTCCTTCGTGGAAAAAAGGAGATGAATTCAATATCAGGCGATGTAGAATAAATTCATCTCAACTTGGATACGCTGGATTTTTGGATCATACCCACGAAACGCACCTCCACCTGGAGACTGGGACGTTCAAATCGGATATAAACAGAATCTCTACAACAAACCCTGAGCTGGGAATAAACGAGGACTGAAAATGCTGCAGTGTGCCGGCTGTGAGAAACCTATCCTGGATAGGTTCCTGCTCAAAGTTTTGGACAGACCGTGGCACATTAGATGTGTCCTGTGCTGTGAATGTAAATGCACTTTGACAGAGAAGTGTTTCTCAAGAGAGGGGAAACTCTATTGCAAAAATGACTTCTTCAGGTAGGCTCTGACTTTCAAGGTTTCTTTTTTATAGTATTTTGTTTGTTCGTTCATTTTCAGTCTAACTTATTATTGCACAAGAGAGAAAAACAAAGGTCATTTTCACAATTTTTAGCCAAAGAAAGAGAAAAGGGACAAATTATTTTTTTTTAACAGGTGGAAAATGAAAGAAAACCAAAAGCTGATGGGACTCAGGGCCCCATAGAGTTTAACTCTATTTGTTTACATTGTTGGAACTGCTTCTATAAATGCAAATTGTAGTTTTATTTATAGTTTTATTTATGTATTTTATGTACTGTCAGTTTTAGATGTGTTGAAGAATAATCTATGAAATACAAAATACTTTACAAATCCTCATTTGAAGCAAAAACACAACATGGGCCCTTACACCCTTGTGGCATTTTCCCTGTTATAATTAGGCTAAATCACAGCAGTGATTTTATTCTATTACTACAAAATTGCGTTTAATTTATGGCTAGTTTATAACTACATTTACATTATATGTGTGTATTCTAGCTTTCATTTGATTTTGATTATTTGCAAACCAAAAAAACACAAGGAACTATTCTTCATGGCGACTAATCTGGAAGTAAATAAAGCCAACTGAAAGAATCCAGTTCACATTGTTATGAATGTTTTTTTCTGACTTTTACTCTCCTTCTCTCCAGGAGATTTGGGACCAAGTGTGACGGCTGTGATCAGGGTATTTTACCCAGTGATCTGGTCCGCAGGGCCAAAAGCAAAGTGTTCCACCTGAACTGTTTCACCTGTGTGATGTGTAACAAACAGCTGTCCACCGGAGAGGAGCTCTACATCCTGGATGAGTTCAAGTTCGTCTGCAAAGAGGACTATCAAAATAACAATGGGAAAGACACAATACTACTCTCAGGTGAGCATCACTGGATCAGCAGGCCTGCGTAAATGTTTTTATTTCTTATTTTTTCGATATAAAAGACAAGCGTTTTTTCTTATAAACTGGTTCAAACAATTATTATTATTATTAAATAATTCACCATCAAGCTACTTACAGCTGGGCTCTATTTTCCTCCTGTAAATATCCTCTTTATTTAAATACAACATCCTTACTTTCCCTACAGTTACGACGTGTAGCGACCCAAGTCTGTCTCCGGACTCACAGGACCCCCAGGACGATGGGAAGGACTCGGAAACAGGACACTTGTCAGATAAGGAGGTGTGTAACAACGAGAACGACGAGCAGACCGGCGTCGGTAAACGGCGCGGGCCTCGGACCACCATCAAAGCCAAGCAGCTGGAGACCCTGAAGGCGGCGTTTGCGGCCACGCCGAAACCGACCAGACACATCCGAGAACAGCTGTCGAGGGAGACCGGGCTCAGTATGAGAGTAATTCAGGTAAAATGATGCCCGTTAAGATACATCTAGATCTATAATCTGATACTTATCAGGCAGATACCTGGTAAATCCAGAGTTTACGCAGCGTTTACGCAGGTAATACAGACGTCTCAACTATCAGGCTTCAACACAGAATCTGTATCAGGATTGTATCAGTTTCTTTGAACTATTTTTGATCGTTTTTAGAAGCTAAACCATCAAAACGCCCTCAGGGAATCAGCTCTAAAGACTATGGTCTAGGTTATTTCCTCTATCTTTCGTTCAGATATGGTTTTCAATCTCTTTACCTATTTAATGCCCATAATCTTCACTCCCACAACGCCCCTAAAACCCTTAAAAGCAAGACCCACTTAGCACGGATGTCGATGGATATTTTAAGAAATCTCTTTGGGTGAACTGATGGATTGACACATACTGTAGTTTCCCACATCTGAGTACCTTTAGAGGGACTAGCTATGAAAAATATAGGCCTATTGCAATTTCCGACCTTTTTTAAATAAGTTTATTCACCTGATCCACGTCTTAATTTTATGTTATTTTTCTTGTAAAATTGGCTGGAAAAGACGCAAAAGTTGACAGTGTCTTTAAACTTCGAACAGGCGAAATGTCCAATCTTTACGCATCAAAAGGCTGCTGTGATTCTCATAACTCTGTTGGTGTTACAACAGCAGGCACAATGCCTTGACATATTGCTATTTCCTGCTTGTGTCATTTCTGCCACTGCCCCCCCTAACTTCTTTGTCTTTCCTCCATCGCTTTGTCCTGAAGGTCTGGTTCCAAAACCGGCGATCCAAGGAGAGGCGCATGAAGCAGCTGAGCGCACTGAGCGGCAGGAGACACGTGTTCTTCCGCGGCCCGAGAAGGATGAGGGCGCTGGGGGAGAGACTGGAGGCGGAGGAGTTAGGACACTTCTCCTATTATGGAGGTGAGGGATGTAGGGATTAGTTATTTTATTCATATTAAAAGTGAATCAGCATATTTTGTTCATTGGACAGTTTTTCTTATTTACCAGTTAGCTGTTATCTGATCTTATTTTAGTCCTTGGGTCTTTGCATCAAAAATGTCACGTCATTATTTTGACTTCACTAAATGTTAAATGTTTAAATGCTTCTTTGCTTGTTCTAAAAATTGATGAAATTCTTATAATCTCAATCAATCAATCAATTTTTATTCATATAGTGCCAATTCATAACAGTGTAATCTGTGCGTTAATCTAGGGGTCTCTCTGAATGCAGATTTTCCTGGTGAATATTACGGCTCAGGAGGGAATTACGAGTACTTCCAGGGCCCTCCGTCATCCCAGGCTCAGACTCCAGCAGACCTTGGCTTCGTACCCTCTTCTGTCCCCGCCGGCACCCCATTAGGAGCAATAGACCACCACCACGCAGGGCACCACTGTCCTACTGATGTGCAGTGTTTCTCTGACACAGTATCCGTCCATCACCCAGCAGACTCACCCAGTCCAGAGCCCAATGTACCGGGCTCCATGCACAGCATCTCAAGTGAAATGTGTGGTCCAGGTACGCCTTTTACCTCTGTGTCCCTTAGTGACAACGGATACACCAACCAGCTGTCACAAACCTCCTCAGACATGAGCGAAGGCACGGGGTGGTAGTCCTTTGGAAACCCTACGAAAAGGCACACTTTGATTTTGAAGGCGAACAAACTCTCTTTCAGTATTATTTATGCTCCATTGTTCAAATAATTTATGTATGTATTTATCTATTTATTTATTTATCTATCTATTTATTTGCTTGCATTCCTGTTAAGCCCTATTTAACTATTTATAAAACTCTATATTTGTACGTTGGTATGATTGTTTATTGACCTGTCGATCAATAGATTGTTTTAAATAGTCCACATGAATTTGACTCATTAATACATTCACAACACTGGGCCTCACTGATCAAGCAATAAACAAACACATTTATAGGCAGCAGAAAGTGTTTTGATGTGGTTACAAAACTCCTTCTGACACAATTATTATGTTGAACTAAACATACACCATCCTTTTTTAAAACCCCTTTCAATATTTGATACACGCAGTATCCTCTATTCATGCACTCATGTGAGATTATGATTGTCATCTTCAATACATTCGACCAAAAACCTCTCTCAGGACAGTCCAAACATAGATTGTGTATTGTTTTTTAAAATTCATTTCGATTTTATCACTGAATTTATTGTCAACATGTCTGCCTTCAAAAAGGAAACATTTATAACGTTGAAATTTTCTAACAACCAATGATTTCAGCGAGTCAAGCGGAAGAGTCAACTGTTTACCTAAAGCTCCAGTATTCAGGGGTTTGTATATCAGCGATGTATAAAAGCTCTTGATTTAATGCAAACAAACCAAACTTTTGTAGCTGTTTTATTTAGGTGGTCCCTCAACTGTGCTCATTTGTACTGTCCTCATTGAAAAATACAAAACACTAATAAAGTGTTGCTGAATGAATGCACAGTGAATCTTCTCTGTTCACTTTATCATGTGTATAGACACAGTCGTTTCCACCTAGCAGTCCTGTGTTTTTGTCCTTAAAATGTCTTACATTGATGGTTTCTAACATGGCTGTCAGTAACATTAACAGTGGTTTTTTTTTTCTCAAGATACACTTTGTTCCAGTTTTAGGAGAGTGATGTTTTTGACCATCCACCCTGTGAAAATAATCATTAAGTGACATGGTGATCCTTGATTTTGACTCTATGATGGAAAATTATTTTTTAAAGCACTTTTAATCTCTTAATAGTTCGGTTTCTTGAAGGATCCTTAAAAGCTCTTGTGACAGAATTTTTACTTTGTGTCTCCCGTGGACAAACAGGGGCCTTGTAAAGATCCCCTCACATTAAACTTAACCTTCCTCCTGTGTTAGCTTTTATTACATACCTACCATGTTATGGGTCGGTTTTGACCTGTGTCTTAAATCAGCTGTAAATTACACTAAAAACAATTCTCTATCATCCAATTTGGTTCTCATCTCTAGGTTACTTTGATAGGCTTCATTATCCATGAAACTATTGCTGATAACAGTTTTTGTTGTGGTCCTCTGGGCCTTTCTTTGTCAGTATACCCCTCATACAGACATCTATACTGAATTGATCTCACACGCTTGAACATTCCCTTTGTTTTTTGTGCAGGAAAAAAACATGGCAAAATGAGAAAATTCTAAGTCTTAGATGATTGGAAGAGGATCTGACTGTCAGTGTGGTTGTGTGACAGTGCACTTATGATTTCAGTTTTTGCTCTTATTATTTGATATTGATCAAACTGCGTTAACAACGACCCTAACACAACAACTGCCATAATTTTAATAAGCGCATTTTATAATTTAGTCAATTGATTTTTTATTTTTTTATTTTGTTGAAATAGAGGTTCCTGACAAAATCATAAAGTCTTAATGCAAAAAAGCTAATTTAACGGGTAGGTGCAAACACCGGACAAGGGTTAAGGAGATAGAATTATATTTTTTAAGTCAGCCTGCCAATGCTGTATCTTTTCCACAAATCCTCCTAAGATATCCTCTCAAATCTAAACGTGTTTTAGACACACCTTCTGAGCAATTTCACAGCACACAACAATGTGCTGAAAGGTCTCTGTGAATGGCATAGACACTGTCAGTGGGACCAAGGACAACTGAGAGGAGGGTCTGTAACTACATCTCATTATGACAACTTGTAGATTAAGACCATTTTGATTATAAGTGAAGAAATTATTTCACAACAAAGAAGATCTATCATTTTTACTTATGGATTTCAAATTTAGCTTTGAACTGACATAAAAGAACTGACATAAAAAGTTGTAATAATTTTTTGTTGTATAATAATGAGTACTCAACTTCTGTCACCTTTGGTATTTTTTTTATAAAGATTGCTGCTGAAAAACAGTCATTAATACAAAACTCTAGTATTGCAAACATCTTGACAAAGAGGACCTGTCTGCTGCAGTTCAGTCAACAAAAGCCAAGTCACTGTTCCTGACAGAGTTATCTGACCCAGAAAAAACAACCGCTCAGCAATCGATTCGGTTTCACGTCCACTAGTATTTGGTCAGCATTCTTATCCAATCACTCTGCTTCATTAGTGAACTGTTGAGTTTATAAAGCAGCTGATGACTGAGTGAAATCACAACTACCACGAGGTTGGATCAAAATGTACCTGCCACAATTTGAAATTTTTGCAGCACTTTCTGAATAACAACAGCACACAAACACACTCATATAATAAAAGGCTTGTCTGAAATGTTCAGCGATTAGATTCTGTTGCATCTCTGTTTTTATGTCTTAGAGTTTGGAAATCATTTTGAAATTTTCAACCTACTTTCAGACAAAACCAAATGAGTTAGTGTATTACAACATTCGGTCTCAAAGCCCAGTCACTCCTATTTGATTGGATTGATTGTTTAAGGGGGGTTGTATGAGATACCTGTCAGGTAGGGGTGAATAGGAAGAGTATTACCCACTGAAAATGCTGGTCAGCGTGACCCTGACTTAGAGAAACCAGGAAATTTTACTGCCAGTCTGGAGACTAGACTATCAACCACAGCGGTCTGACCAAGACACAATATCAGTCTAGTTGTACATTATATTAAGACATTTTTTAGCGCTTGTCTTTGCTGCCAGACAACCATTTTGTGTGGTACTGTAAATGTATAATATTCATGTTCATAGAAATGCAGCGCATATTCAAATATATTGTACTTTTATATCAACATTGGTATCCTAGTTGGAGTTTGAAATTTGCTTAATGAGATGTGGACCACATCCACTGTGTTTGATAGTCTAACTTTTATGCTAAATCAAGTGCTGGTTTTTCGATACAGAGGTTGAGCTGGCTCTCCTGTTTGAAAACTATCCCTTTATTACTTCATCTTCATAAACAAAAATATTAACTCAAACTTGGATCTTTAAAGAGGTGATAAGCTTTTCTTTTTTTAAGAATAGCCCCTCTTTGGAAGAAAAAAAATTGTCAAATTCTGGTTTCATCTTTTTTCAAAGTTTTGAGGCAAAATTACAAAACAAAACATGACATTAATGACTCGATTTATATGAATCTAAAAATACATTACATTAAAAAATATGTTAAAAAGTGAAATTATTGGGTTTTCTTTCAATCTCTTAATCCAGTGCATGGGTAGCTGTCATCTTTAAATCCAACAGAGGGTGGATTTATGTTTAGAGATCATTTCTATTCAGCCCATTAAAAAGCCTTTCCAGACCAGGGTGGCATACGGCCACAACTCAAGGCTCAAAGCCTCAGTGCCCCAGCTTAATTTACTGTTACCAGATAAAATCCCTGAGTTCACTTAACTACGTATCATGAGTCTAAACAACAAATGTTAAATGAACCAGAAATTGAGCCTTGATGGTTAAAACCACACCAGCCCACTGTGACACACTGATGAAATAGATCTCATCATAGTTGTCTGTTTTTCTAATTTATTTTCTGAACTGAATTTCTAAGCTGTCGCATATTTAGATTAAAGGTGCACAAGGAGAGAATAACATCAAGTATATAGCAGGAGAAGATCAGTCAAAGGAATCATGTAATGGTGAATAAAAAAAAGAAACAAGTGAAGATGAGCGTCTAAAAAGGTGTTCAAAGCAAACGTTAACACAAAACTACAAACACACATATTACGAGCTTAAAACTGTTTGATAATCTGTTAACTAATTAAAGCCAAATGTCCAAAGCCGTCAGTGTTTGAATGTTTAGAGATAATGCGATGCTGTAAATCAAACTAATCCCTGTTTATCTGAGCAAAACACTGTGATTAAGAGAGAGATTTGCAAGTCAAACACAACACCAGCAAATCAATTCAAATCTAGCTGACAGTCATTATTGCCACTGCTGGATAAACAGACCAAATTCATGGATGTATCCCTGCGAAAAGTGAATCACCTTTACTTTGCTGTGCAACTAACTTAACTCTCCACAAAAGTGCTCATGATATATATAGTATGTTGTGTTTCATGCACCAATATATGATACCACTTAATGACTTAATACAGTTTATACTTAAAGGTGCAATTGGCGGAAATTGGAAATACCTGAGATTCTGCTTGCTTGCTCACCTGTTGTCCCCTGTTGGTGGCACTTCAGAAGTGATGGTGGCCTTTGAGGACAAGAAGCAGGCTCACCCCAGCATGAATTCCTCTGCACCAAACAACCACCACTCTCTAAATGTCACTAAAAACTACACACAGCACCTTTAAGTTAAAGGACAAGGTTGTGCTCCAAAGTGTTAAACAGCCGACCTCAACTCGCTGCCAGATGGACACTTGGACTACAAATGTAGTGCAGCCTGACACTTGAATTTGCTGACAGCTGCGGTTAATCCCTTCATTTTCCTGTAATAAACAAAAACCTTTTCACAGGTGTTTTTTTTTTTTTAATCTGTAGGGTTTGATCTGATTTTTCTGGTTTGCAAAAGTGATCATAATGAGAAAACTGACCTTTGGATGGACGTGACCTTTTTTGTCACTCTTGCCTCATTATATACTAGAAAAACTGTGTTCTTTCTAACGGAGGAGAATTCATGAGGAGCACGCAGATAGATTTGCAATTGAATTAAAGAACTGCTTATAGTTTAGGTTGCCTTATGAGCTCAAACACCTTTAAACTGAAGGAAATGGGATCTAAAATTGGAGCAAAGAAAATGTCAAAATACACTAACAATGGGACAAATGTTATGACTGGATAATACTTGATCATTATTCATGATGGAAATCCTTTTTATTTTGTCCTCTGAATCTTATTTGAACTTAGATTTGGCCTTTTTGTCCCTGATTTTTCCTTTAAGTTGCTTGTACAATCTGGCCCGATTCCCTAATTCGTCTCTTTCTTCACTTTTGGCTCCAGGCTTTGCGGTCCACTTTCTGCATGAAAATCATTCACACATACAATTTTATAATCAATGCCCACAGTAATAGGATTCCTCTGGCCATGGGCAATTAATACAGTTTTTCCCTTTTTTTTTCTCCTCATGCTGATCTCAAAGCTACGAGACATTGGCTTCTCCTCATTTACATATTTATTGCATTGGACTCAAATCTGCCGAGTGATTGATGTGGAGCCTGCCTCCTGAATTTTTAGCGGGCTATTATTATGAAAGAGAGGGAGGGGGCTGCGGCACGTCAGTGTACTTTTGATTAAAGTTGAAGAGGACAGAATCGAGTGTTCCCCTCCTACTTTTCTATTCCTGCAGTGCTTAATCTGGAGGGCCAAGAACTGTGGAGATTTCAGGATGTTATAGGTTGTGACATGTCATTAACTCACAAAAGCCAAAGCAGATAATGCCTGTCAAGATTTTCATCACTGCTTTTTATTCCTACAGAGTTTATCTACAACATCATACATTTTAAATAGAAGTTTCTTGTATTCTGTAATCTTAACTAATCATGCATAAACAATTAAGTTAGTTTTACACAGTGTTTTATATTCTCTGGATTCCTGCTTATC